TGGGGCATTGCGGTTAGGGTTTAGAGTTTGGGATTTAGGGTTTAGGGTTTAGGTTTAGGGTTTAGGGTTTAGGGTCTAGGGTTTAGGGTTTAGGGTTGAGGGTGGGGGGTTGCACTGCTCGTGGAGACAATAACCTGTTCGACGATTTGGGGTTAGGGATTCGGGTCTACGGTTTGGTTTTTAGGGTGTCGGGTGTAGGGTTTAGAGTTTGGGGTAAGGCGGAGATCCCCCAAAAATCTGGTGCTGTGTGCAGGGTTGAGGAGGACAATAACCTGATACCCCTGCAGCACCCCCTCGCTGCTCTCGAACCCCCACGTCGCCCAGCTCCCCCCCAGCCCTGTATTCTCCGGCTCGTTCCACACCAAAGAGATCACCCCGCCCCCCCCCACCGCGCCACTGAAATTCAAGGGCGCCGTCGGCGCTCCGTATATGAGGGCGTCAACTGTTTCTGATCGCGCGCCGGCGACTGGTGTGATGCCCCCTGGTGTTTGGGGTTAAGGTTTTGGGGTTTGGGGTGTGGGGGTTGTGGATTGGGGATTAGGGTTTGGGGTTTGGGGGTTGAGGTTTAGGGTTTAGGGTTTGGGGTGTGGGGTTTGGGGTGAAGGGTTCAGGGTGTGGGTTTACCTTCCAGGGAGAACACCGCGTCGACGGAGAGGTTGTGCATGGTCCCCGGATAGAGGTTGGGCACCACCACGCGCAGCTCCGCGGTGTAGCACTCGTCGTTGCACGGGGGGAACGTGCACGGCTCTGACGCGTTCTCGCACGAGGTGACGACGCCGGCCGCGTCGGGCGTGACGCTCTCGAGGAGCGCCGGACCGTCCCACACGCGGTACTCGGAGACGTTCCGCCCCGTGGCCGCATCGGGGTAGGTCTGCGTCCACGCCAGCACGACGCCCCGGTCGACGTACTGCCACACTCGCAAGTCCGTCGACTGCCCCAGCGTTGCGTCACCCCCCACCGCCTGGAGGCACGCTGCGAAAAGAATAACATGGAACACGCAGCTCGTCAGCCGCCGTATTTGACTAGCCCCGTTCGAGGGCCGAGCCGCGCATCCCGCGCTGGCCGACATCCCGACGGTTCCCCAACGACACGGAACACCCGTGGCGTGCCACTCGCGATCACCCCCCCCCCCCGAAACCAGACCCTCTCTCAGATCCGCGGCTGCGGAAGGCCTATGCAGTGCGATCCCGCCCTGTGGAAGCAGCCGACATCCTCCTAGCGCCACGTCTGCTCCCCAGCGGCGCCAAGCAGCACCCTCCGGCTGGCTGCCGGAAAACTGAAGCCCGCGACTGCGCCCTCGCCGCCGCGCTGGCCAACCCTGTGAGGCTGGAGTGACGCAGAGGTGCGCGTGTGATCGAGAAGCAGTGCCAGATCGTCCCCCGATCCTCGCGCCTGTTCACTCAAGAGGGCCCTCGAAGGCGGGTAACGTGACCGAATACAGTAGTAACCTGAGGAAAATCAATGGCTCCAAGTCAGCAAGTCGTGAGCCACATAACCTGAAGATCTGGAAATTCAGAATTTGGAGGGTCGCGCGAAGGGGATGCAACACGGGACAAGGCGCTGGCTCGCAGCCGTGCTTTTCGTGTCCCTCTCACCGCACGGAGCGAGCGCGTGGTCGGGAGGAGCAGCCCTCATTTTGAGAAACAATGCCCGTATTGCGCCGACATCAGGGCATCGCATCGGAGGGTTCCGGGCGGAGGAGATGAGAGGAAGCGCGTGGCGGGCGGGGAACAGGCGAGGTGTTTCGCGCGTGGTCGTCATGGTGGGAGCCGGAGATTCCTCGGACGACTGGATGTTTACGTCGGCAAGGGTCCCCATTTCCCCCCAACACCGCCGCCGAGAGCGGCTCAGCGGCAGAACTGCAGAGCAAAAATTCCAGGCGCGTCGCAATTGCACAATGGCCAGCCCTGACCACAAACTGCTCTGTTCGTCAAAGGTAGGGCATGCGACTAGCACCAATACTCCGGCAAAAGACTGCGGCAGGATAAGGCTAAGTACAGGGGCTAGGGTTTATCCGAAACCAGAAACCAGAAACCAGAAACCAGAAATCAGAAACCAGAAATCCGAGACCAGAAACCAGAAACCAGAAGCCCGAAACCAGAAATCCGAAACTCTAGAGCTATTCCGGTAGGACTTGTCGCGTTTTCGATTTCGCCACTTCGAGACTTCAAGACTTCATTTGTACCATGCGATTTGAAACGGTGTGTTTTAAAACGTTTTACGCCCTTTAAAACCTTTTTGAAGTCTGAAATTTTGAAATCTCGAAGTCGAAAACGCGACAAGTCCTACCGGAATAGCTCCAAAGGCCTGGCTCCGTCGCAGTCTGATGATTTCTCTCCAGGTTTTTATGCTTGTCTCTTTCTCACTCCCGCCTGAGGTGGGGGTGGGAGTAAGTCACCCTGAGGCACCAACCCACAACTTTAATCTCCATACAAGTATTACTTAATTGCTTTTGGCAACGAAAATTACTACACGGTTTGCTCATAAAAGTAATAGTAAAGCGTGTGTGTAGTAAATTTCGTTGCACCAAAAGCAATTAGTTAGTACTTTTGTGGAGATGAACTTCATCATGAAATGCCCCCTCCAGCAGAACCAGGACGGAGACAAGACGCAGCAGACGCTCCCCCTCATCGCGCGGCCCTTCGGCATCGTCCTGCTCCCAGGTCCTAGCTCTGCCTCAGGCGGTTGACTGATCACGCGCTTCCTCTCATCTCCTCCTCCCACCAGCCCTGGGAGGTGGCTCAATTCGTGGCCTGGAACATTTTCGATATACCTTGACAGAGAGTTCCACGCCAGAGTCTTCGAAGGGTTTGCCAAAAGTCAATTTTCCCTCAAGGGCAATGGTTTTCAAAAGTCAATACCGTACCCACATACGGTTTGAAATATTTTTCCCCTTCCTCCAGTCTGGCGTGGGTCGGGTTCGACCCCGCTGACAAAAACAATTTAAGGCGCAAGGTCCCATTCTCGGTTAAAAACAAATCCGGAGGTTTCAAACACGTTTGCACAAAAGGAGTTTCAGAGCACAAATTGAGCCACCACCCAGGGCCAGTGATCCGCCCGGAACCCTCCGATGCGATGCCCTGGCGTCGGCGCAGCACGGGCATTGTTTCTCAAAATGAGGGCTGCTCCTCCCGACCACGCGCTCGCTCCGTGCGGTGAGAGGGACACGAAAAGCACGGCTGCGAGCCAGCGCCTTGTCCCGTGGTGCATCCCACCCTTCGACGCGACCCTCCAATTTCCGCGCTCAGATCTTCAGGTGATGTGGTTCGTGACTTGGAGCCATTGATTTTCCTCAGGTTATTACTGTATTCGGTCACGTTACCCGCCTTCGAGGGCCCTCTTGAGTGAACAGGCGCGAGGATCGGGGGGGGCGATCTGGCACTGCTTCGCGATCACACGCGCACCTCTGCGTCGCCCCAGCCTCACAGGGCTGGCCAGAGCGCGGCGGCGAGGGCGCAGTCGCGGGCTTCACTTTTCCGGCAGCCACTGCGAATCGGCCACTTTTGGAAAAAATGCAGCATTTCTGAAGCAAGTTGTTGACTTTTGACGTTAGACGGACCTGCAGCAGATGCACGTGGATGCCCGGAGCTAAATGTCTATCAGACATTTAGCTACATCCACTTAGCAGCCACCGGAGACTTCACGGACACAGTCCATCTAAACGATTTATACGAGAATCTTATCCAGTTGCATTGGATTCC